TCTTTACAGTAGGGCTGTTAAAGATCTAGCTATTTCTTTATTCAGGTCTTGCCAAATGAACTTCTTGTTACCCAATTTCAATGAATTTACATGACCACAAGGACTTATTTAGTGTTTGCACCACCCAATTTGTCAGTTTGCATTCCTCTATGTAACTCCAACATTGCACAGATGCCTCATGACCTGCCAGTTATGCTGGTGCGACTGCTATTACAGGTATTCTAACCCAATCATTAGTAACAGTTACTGTAATATGAATATTACATAGGTGATTATCCAAATTTTCATCATTGATAGGATTTGAATACCCAACCTACCACTTGGAGGGTTGACAACCTGATTATTTTACTAGGTCGTCACACTCCTAAAACAGAAATTTATTTGAGAAAACTTAAATAGAAAGATAATATAAATTTTTAATAATACTACTAATCAAAAGTATAATGATTTAATAAAGTAATCAGGTTGTTAACCTTCCAAATAGTAGGTTGTGAGTTCAAAACCCACAGATGATGAAATTTGAATAATCATCTATATAATATTTGTATTACAATAATGACATTTTGTCAATCAGTTGGGATAAGATACCTGTAACTATGATTATACCAGTATGACTGACAGGTCAAAAGCATTTGTATAATCTTAATTATATAGAAAGATGCAAACCAGTATCAGGCAGTACAAACCCAAAATAAGTCCTTTAACTATATAAATCTGTAAAACCAAAGAAACCAGAACCCACTTGGGAAGACCTAAGTAAAAAGATAACACAAATCTTTGATAGTATTATTGTAAAAACTAGACCTAGAAAATGGATACCAATGTAGAAAAATCAGGTAGACAAAAATCTCTAAGTAAGAGGTACCACTAACCAGACTATTGAAAATTGGATCAAAAGAAAAAAATATCAGATCAGACTTGATATACCAGAACAGGTTACAATCCTACCAGACTATCTGGATTGGAAGTCTGATGTTTAAAGCAGAAGTATATTATAAATACTAAGAATATACTATGAAGTTAATACTGAGATTTGCAACAACATATTTTGTTAATGTTTTATAATTAAAAGTAGATACGTATATTAATTAACAGGAAAACATCCTGGAACTTACAATCAGGTGACATGCTCTGAAATGTGTAATGGCCTGACAGATGTACAACAAGAGAGATCACATATCAAGTTAGACAACACTAAAATGTACAGAAACCTTGGAACTATTCAACGAGTATAAATATAAAAGATTAAAGTATTTAAATAGGTAATCTCCTAGAAGATTATAGGGATGGCAACTAGTATAGAACCTTCAGGCAGACTACTTAAAATAGATAACCAAAAGTTGTACAAGTGGCTAGTTGTACACTCATCTTGTACAAGTTATACAATTAATGTATAATTAAAAATACACAATAAAGGTGATAGCCGCCGATAGACATCGGCCTTAGCGAAAGCAAAAAAAAAATAAATTTAATGCTACTGATCACTATATACCTTGCTATTAAACATACCAAACGCAATGAAAAGATCGCACTATGAATTATGAAAATTGGTATTCCAGGGGTACTATACGCAGCGCTATACGGTAATTGTACAACTGCTAAATGCACATGATACAAAGTATCATACAGTATTAAACTGCTTCAATTTTCAAAATGCGACAACTCAAGGTAGAGGCAAAGCACATAAAAAATAGATAGAATTTATCTCTACCATTAAGTTGATATAAGCATGTGAGTCTCTGAAATAATTAAACCATTTTCGAATTAATATAAAAAAAGAAACGTACCAGTATGTATGTACGTATACGAAATTCTGAACTTGATCAAAGTGACAAAAATAGATATTGTAACACAAACAAGTTTCGGGGATAGCAGTGATTGGCAAGTTTATCTGATGATCAAATGCTAAATTCTTATATCAACCTGACAATGTAATTCATCAATTCAATTCTTTGGCGTTTAACCGAGCTAAACTTTAATCCGTAAACATGGCAGCTGTTAGTCCTTCTGAATTCAGTAATCCCTTGCGAAAGTTCAAACTGGTATTCTTGGGTGAGCAAAGTGGTACGTTGAACATATACATATGAGGGATGTCAAAATAACGTAAAGTTGCAATGTTAGCCGAACTGAAATATTGCAACTTTTAACCTTCAAAAACCAAATGTCTGCAAATTTACTTTAAAATCGTGTATTACCAAAAATTAAATGTGAGTCTGGCATCTGAAAATAAAACGACATACATTTGGTTCTTAGGTAGGTTATTCTTTAAAACGATCATTCAAGATTTACAAATTCTATTTTAATAGTCGGAAAGACATCGTTGATCACACGTTTTATGTACGATACCTTTGATAATACTTATCAGGTATGTAATTTTAGATAAGATTTTTACTTCAATACATTTTTAATCCAATGGCATTTTTTATATAGGCTACGATTGGGATCGATTTTCTATCGAAAACTATGTATTTGGAAGACCGAACAGTTCGATTACAATTGTGGGATACAGCAGGCCAAGTAAGAGAATCATCTAATATTCCTTATTTGTAAATATTGCACTCTCTTAACAATGAACATTATTCCTATAGGAAAGATTTCGAAGTTTAATTCCGAGCTATATTAGAGATTCTTCGGTAGCTGTTGTCGTATATGATATTACAAGTGTGTTCTATACTTTATTGCTCATCATCTATAAATCATCCTTTCTTATTGAAGCTTAATAATGTCTGTTTTTAAAAAGATAGGAATTCATTTATGAATACAGCTAAGTGGATTGACGATGTACGTGCCGAAAGAGGTCATGATGTTATTATTGTGTTGGTTGGAAACAAAACTGATTTAAATGACAAAAGGTGAGATTGATGTTTCGTATATGTGTATATGTATCTTCATTCGATTGAAGCCTTGTAAAATTTTAGACAAGTCACAACAGAGGAAGGAGAAAAGAAGGCAAAAGAATTTAATGTCATGTTCATTGAGACTAGTGCAAAAGCAGGGCACAACGTAAAAACCCTCTTCCGTAAAATTGCCCAAGCTTTACCTGGAATGGAAAATACAATGTCTGAGCCTCAAAGTCAACGTAAGCATATATTCTCAATTATCTCATTTGAATGTTTATACAGAAGCATTAATCCTGTTAATTCTATTTATTTAAATGCTCAGTTATTGATGTAAATATCAATTCTGGAACTCAAAATTCTAATGAAAGTAGCAGTTGTGCTTGTTAATGTGTATTTATTCTTGTTGAGTATCGTTGTATAAATAATGAATGTGTCATAGACTATAATTGAATTTGTATTAACAATTATCTATAGAATGTTCTCACTTTAATAAGTAGGTTTGATAGTAACATGGTAGCTATTATAACTAAAGTTGTATAATAATTATTTTAGTTTGGTTGAATTTAGGCTATTAAAATTTAGCATTTTTATAAAAAGACGAATTCAACTAATGTGCTTTATTGTTCGTTTTGATGCTTATAACGAATTAGAATTCGTATCTAAATATTTGTGAATTATTATAATAATAAATAATAAAAATATATCCAACCTTCACGTTGATGAAAATTGTTTTAAAATAGCATATAATGTAATTTGTATTATTCGAAATATTTGATATTAGTGTTTCAGTTACAAATGTATTCAAGTATTTTTTTAATATCTTTTTGAAGAGTATAATTCTATTAATAAATTTAGATTTGTAAACACTTGACTCTCGTTAATATTAACCAACCTAAACAATAAATTGAATTTCTAAATATTAAAATTATATTAGAATTTTTTTACGTACTGTATATTAATTTTAATATGATCTCTTATTAATATTACTATTAGTATAAAAGTAAAAGTGATTCAAATAGGATGATATTGGTGAGAATCAAATGTACTAGTATTTATTTTATTAGTTTAAATTAAAGCTAAAAACTATATTTTTATATAAATTTTTTTTAGTATATATTATATAGTGTTGGAAAAATAACAGTAAAATAAAGTTCAAAAAATTTTTTTTGAACTTAAACAGTTACATTAGTACTTTATTAAGATTCTTGAAACTATGTTTGCAATTACATAGAGACATCTAATAACTAAGTTTAGTATTATATAGCCATTCTAACAGTATCTAAGTGCAATTTGCTGCACTAACACAGGTTGAATGAATGAATAAAAGGTAAATATTAGGTAAATAACAGAAAAAAAATCTGCCATTATTCTACCCTATATCTGCCAAATAATGGCAGCATAACAGCAGTATAATAGTAAAATAATAGTAAAATAACAGAAGGTTTGTTAATATGAGTAACATAACAGTAACATAATAGCAAAATAATAGAATAGTTCTATTATTTTACTTTTAGTTACAAAGACTAAAAGTAAAATAATAGAACTGTTCTATTATTTTGCTATTATGTTACTATTATATTACTCATATTGACAAACTTTCTGATATTTTACTATTATTCTACTGTTATGTTACTGTTATGCTACTATTATTTAGCAGATATAGGATAGAATAATAACAGATTTTTTTTCTGTTATTTACTTATTAGTCACCCTTTATTTATTTATTTGACCTGTATAACTCAAATAGAAGTAGACTGTTTGTTTAATTATTTCATGTCCATAATAGAAAGGTTTTTTATAACAGGTCTTAACATTGTTTTTTTGATTTCTTTTTTAATTTAATTTTTTTTTTCTACTTGTTTTTTTTTCTTTTGTTATTTATTGGCTTATTTTTTTTTCTTATATTTGTTTTTTTTATTTTATTAGTTATTTTTTTTCTTTTATTCATTTATTTTTTCATATTATATTTTTTATACTTATTTGTAAAATGTGTTTCAAACTGTTTTTATTATAAAGTTCAATTTTTTGTTTTATATAAAAAAATTTTTTTATTTTTTTCTATTGTTTTTTTTAATATTAAAATAAGCACTTGTAACTTAATATATTTTTGATAATATGTTTCAGTTTTGTAATTATATTATAATAGTTACAAAAGCCAACTATAAGAAGAGTATATAACTAGTCACTTATACAATTTTAGTTATTATCTAATTTAAAGAGTTTATCTGAAAGTTTTATACTACATTAGCAATTATAGATATGAAATATTACAAAAAATTTTACATAATATAAAAATTTTGAAATATTGTAGAATAAATTTTAAAATTTTTATGAAATATAAAATATTTTAAAATAGTATAAAATAAATTAAAAAATTTTTACAAACATAAAATATTTTAAAATATTATGAAATAAATTTTTAAAATTTTTGAGAAATACAAAATATTGTAAAATAAATAATCAAAATTTAAAGATTACATAATATTTCAAAATATTGTAAAATAAATTATTAAATTTTTGCATAATATAAAAAAATTAATAATTCAAAATTATCAATATTTAAAAAAAAAGTAAAAATATGAAAATTTTAAAAAACTTTAAAATAATAGTTATACTAAAATATTTGAATTATTTTATATAATAAAAAATAATATTTAAAATAATTATATTAAAATGTATAAAGTTAAAAAAACAGATACTGTTAGATATTTAAAGCATAGTTAAAAATAAAAGTAAATCTATTAGTTGATATAGTTAATAATTAAAAATTATCTATTTAAAAATAGATACAGACATAATTATATACAAAATTTAATCTATTTCTTTCCTATAATATCTTTTGCTACACTTTGAATAATAATATAACTTAAATAAGTGCAAATTAATTACAACTAGATTATTAAAATTTTATATAATCTTTAATTTTAGAAATAAATTAATATGCAAAATATTACAGAAAATTAAAAAATTTTTATAAATAAAAATAATTACAAACCTATTTGTTTTTTTTTTTTTTTTGGTATTTAGGTGAGGCCTTGCTTATATCTTTATTAATAATTTAAAATAGTTACATGTATATATGCTATGACCGAGGCCAACACT